ATAATTTAATCATAGGTACGTACATCTTCTTACTGTGATGACCAATTAATTCTTCATTGTAACATATAAGGTAGTCATGTCATATCAAAACATGACCATTCAGACCATCGCCTTGTAGATACATTATTTTTGGTAAAGAGAAATCCTACAACGCTGGCTGCAATCAACTCATGACGCTGTTTTGACATTAGCAAATTGATTTGAGAAAATTATGTCTCTATGGTTTTTGAAGAATGAGGCAAACATATTGAATTAGGAGCAAAATTGAAAAGTCTCCTAAACAATACTTGATGCAAACACTGCACCAAATAAATACACAGGGCCTTATGTTCATGAAGTTAGTACCATCAACGAGACAGAAAGTAATGGAAAATACTTCTGATTGATCTGTATAGGAACCAGGAAGCGAGGAAGATGACAACAGTTTTGCATTCAACACAATATCAGGCAAACTGATATTTCAGAATCCAAAACAATTATGTATTTTCCTGAGTGTAGTTTGTCGATGTTTCTTACTCGGTTTCCTACTTACAGCCAATCACAAAATTCACAAGCTGAACAATCTGTAAACTCGTAAATAACAAAACTAGGGTTATGTTGACCATGTTGATCATATATGTACTATTTCTATATATGGTGCATCGCCTATACTATACGATATCTCAACAAAAAATGGGACCAAAATGAGAGGTACTTTTTGAATTTCGAATCTATAAGGACGGAAAGTGAAGGTTTGACAAGTTTCGTAGTATTTTTTCCCTACGTCGGCATCAACGCCTATTGGTCGATTTCGTTACCTATAAAGACAGAAGTTGGTCCCGCTTTGAGGACTATGATTCATATAAGAGTAGTAGATATATGATGTTGACGTTCTTCTACTTTTTGCCACACTGCCCAATAAGCACTAGCCAGGATATTCGTAATGCTTTATATTTTTTTGGAAGCCTTTTTTTATCATTCTTATATCAATCCTATCATTTTTGAAGCATTGTTGTCATACTCAGGAACAAATAGTCATAAGAATGGATTTCAATATGCAATAATGAGTACTTCAACAGGAGGAAATCGTCTCATGAAATGCCACAGATTACCTAGTGGTTTTAATCAAGCATTAGAGAAAGAAAATTGGTTTTAAGTATATTTTGCGCCATATTTACTACAAACAGATGTCGGCCACGATTCATTGTTACTGCCGTCGAAAATGTTGTTTTTCACATTTTTCAAGCGACTCACCCATATTCAGCAAACATTCATACAGTTTCATCAACTTTTTTGAAAAATTATTAAAAATTACATCCAATTCTAACTGGCAAAACACATTATTTCTAGAGCGCTGCTTCTTTTGAAGCATATCTGGTATGTTTTCGTCGAAAAAGTCGTCATCGTTTTCATTTTACAGCCTCAATCTTGGATTTACCGCTGCACAGCATCAAGCTACTATTTGAACGGCTTTCGGGAGACATTTATGACATCTCCATTTCTTCCCCTTACGAGTGTTGCCAAATAAAGATTTTCATTATTTTACGTTGAAACCCTGAAGACAAGAAGATATAATGCGAAGACATATTTTTTCCCTCATTGCTAGCTGAACTTCTCTATAAGTCTATATTGAATTTCAATCTCTCGGGTTTCAAAGGAGGAATGGGAACATGAAATGATGAAAATTTATTCCACTATTATTAACTAATTTATTATTATAAAGATTTATACTTGATTTTCTTACTACTAATAAGAAACAAAGAGAGAGAAAGAATTTTGAGTTATATGAAAATGAAACGACATGACACTGAACTGTAGTTATCAATTTATTATTATTATAATTAATTAACGTCAGAAACTCATACGGGAAGGTGTCACAATATTATATAGCATCAAACCAAATGAACCATGATCATTTTCAATTCCACTCTTGCAATTTATTTTCCTGGATATTATGTTACTAAGTTTAGTGACCAATTGGTGTGTTAAAAAACTGGAAACTACAAAAAAGGGATACCAAATCTACATTTATTGTAGCACGATATGATAAAATGAGACTAATGAAAATGCTATCAGAGGTAGTTCAATCTTATAGCTTATTACCTCCCAATATTTATGTGGCTGATACTACTATTTTTTTGGGAACAAATGGAATCTACGTCACTGGGTTTCATTTTGTAAAAGCTACATATACACTGAAATTGACATTGGCCAACTACTAACTATATGTCAAAAAATATTAATTTAATAATATTTCGATAGATATACTTCACTGGGTATTATTTTATAAACGTCATATATATGCATTGAAATTGACATTGGTCAACTATATTTGAAAAAAAAAAACTGTTTCATCAGCTTATACTTCAACACACTATATCTCTATAGAAACAATTAGTTGCTCTGCGATGGAGGACCATCTAACCATCTAACTTATAATCACCTTGATATATACCGAATTGAGGCAAAAAGCACCATCAGACACAGAAATATGGTGAGGCATTTTTGGACTACCTTATACAGGGTGTTCCGAAACTATTGTGCCAAAATGTAAGGGTGGGTAGATCTCGTCAAAACAAACGTTATTTACTTATCAACCCATAGGCGCATGCACCTCATTTCGGTGCTAAAAAAATATTACTTGTGATTTTATGTCATTTACTAACACGACGGTTTCCGGTACAAACACGGTTTCCGGTACAAACACGTTTTCCCGTGTCCGAGGTTGGATATCACGGCGCGAACCTTAATGCGCTATTATCACTGAACGCATGCGCCTATGGGTTAATAAGTGGAAGACGTTTGTTTTGGCGAGATCTACCAATCCTTAAATTTTGGCACAATAGTTTCGGAACACCCTGTATATTACAAACCTATGTATGTAGATAATAATTAATAGACCCTCACTATTCCAAGCAGGGAACAATGGGAAGAGAACAGAGGGGAATTTCGCCCAGAGAGTCTAGTATGTTATACGGACGGATCGCGCCTATCTGACAAACAGGACTCAGGTGCAGGAATTTACCTAGAAGTAATAGGCATAAAGGAGAGCTACGCTCTTGGAAAGTATACCACAGTTTTCCAGGCTGAGGTCTTTGCCATTCTGACAGTAGCGGAGAGGCAAGAGGTGAAAGACGGACCAGAGCAGAAGATTTACATCTGCTCGGATATTCAGGCGGCTCTCAGGGCTATCTGCCATCCTAAACCAAGCTCAGCTTTGGTGCAGGAATGTGGCGATGCTCTTGAGAAACTAGCTGAACAGAAGGAAGTCGAACTAGTATGGGTTCCGGGCCACAGGGGGGTGCCCGGGAACGAGGTGGCCGACGAGCTGGCTAGAATCGGATCCGCGACACCGTTCTGGGGACCGGAGCCTGCACTGGGCATAACAAGAAGCCAAACTTCGTCTGCCCTTAACAAATGGGCGGACGAGGCACTAGAAGGATACTGGAGGCGTATAGGCGGCTGCAGGCAATCGAGAGACTTGGTGGCCGTTCCAAGCAAGCCAAAGACGGCTTGGTTACTGGGCAGGGATCGCCAAGTCCTGCGCCTTCTTATAGGGGTACTGACAGGGCACAACAGGTTACGCAGACACCTATCACTCATAGGTGTGGGAGATAGTCCCACTTGCCGTGAATGCGGAGAAGATGAGGAGACATCACTTCACTTCCTCGGAGAGTGTGAGGCGTATGGAAGGATGAGATTCGAAATCTTTGGAATAAATAAACTACAACAGGAAGATTTGGTCGAATTAGAGTGGACGGACATCCTGACCTTCATCAGAAGGACGGGAAAGTTCGAAAAGGACAACTAAAAGAGGGATGTGTAGATATGTGGAGAGCAGGGGTTGGCAAAAAGGGCCTATGGGGGCCTACTTGCATGGCTACAGCCTCCCCACAATACTACTACTACTACCTATCTTAATTAGAACAAGTTTTTCCAAATGTATTATTGGTTATTATCTTCCTCCCAATTCTTCTCTACCTTAACAATATATTCCGGAATGTCTAAATCCCGTTCTAGATCAGGATGAACTATCTCAATTTTACAGTCTTTTTCCACATTGACAATAGTAGAATCTGTTGGTGAAAAAGTGTCTTCGACGTTTTCTACTTTCACTTTGGCTTCCACTCCATCACCAAATTCATTATGGACACTTGTTTTCATTTGTTTTTCAGAAATGTTTCCGTTTGAACCATCCTCGACAGCTACTGCATCAGTTACATCAATTTTTAATCCACACTCTTTCAGGCAACTATCACATTGAAAAGGTTTCTCGCCAGTATGCTCTTCAATGTACCTAGTCAAATCACTCTTACTAAAGATTTGTTGCTGGCAAAAATCACATTTGAAAGGTCTCTCGCCAGTGTGCAGTTTGATGTGTCTCAGCAAATTACATTTCAAAGTGAACGTCATCTGGCAAATTATGCATTGAAGAGTTTTCTCGTCACTGTGCAGCTTACGGTGTTTTTGCAAATAACTTCTGCCCACTGATTTCGTACAGATATCGCATCTGACCCTGTAGGTTCCGGAGTGCACCCTATGGTCGTGTTCAGTCAAATGACTCTTCTGCGAGAAATTCTTCTCACATATAATACATTGGAATGTGATCCCGCCAGTATGCATTTTGATATGTCTGACCAAATTACTTTTATCGTTGAATCTCTTTCGGCACATATCACATCCGAACGGTTTCTCGCCAGTGTGTACTCTCATGTGTCTGATCAGGTTCATCTTGTCGTTGAATTTCTTTTGGCACATTTCACACTCGAAGGGTTTTTCGTTGGAGTGCCCTTTGATGTGTCTACTCAAACCCCTTTTTTTGCTGAATTTCATCAAGCAAGTGTCACATTGAAACGGTTTTTCGCCACTGGGTTTCAATTTTGACATTTTAGTAAAATTTTTTAGGCACATATTACCTTCGAAGGCTTCCTCGGTGGTTTGCGTCTTATCAGCAAGTGAATTTCCAGCAGCCCAATAATGAGCAGAATCCATTTTCAGAGTTGTTTTGCTGTTCAGTCATTTTATTTTTCTTCTGGCAGGAAGGTATCTGATGTTTCCTTGATCACGTGGGGCTCCAGACGAAGCAGGAAGGAAACGGTCCTCCCTGTGAATGAACGAATTATTATTAGTTCTCAAGAGAGTTAATATTTTTCATTATTTATATTGAAATAAATAAATTTGGACACAACCGATGCAGCTGCAAAGTATGAAACATGTAAATTTCTACACATCATTTATATTACACAGTTTTTTCTATCTTTAGACAATAAAGCACGTTCTCTCTATTCACTTCTGACAAACATACAATTCGAATTTTCTCATTTTAAATTTTTTTCACCAATATTTTCAGTTCTAGTTAATCTTTTTTGCGGATACGTGGAAATATTAGATCCTACGTATCCCTGTAAAGCCCACAACTTCCTTAGTTCGTTGGCCTACTACAGGGGGTCTTCGAAAAGTAATGTTCACTTTGTATTCAATTGGCGTTAGATTCACTTTCCTTCTACGTCTAAGTCATTAAATGTTACAGTTTACAATAGATTTACCTTTTCAATGTTCAGACGAGTAGTCAATGGTTAATTGATATTAACGATGTGATATTAACGAAGTTCACTGGTAGCACTTGGTACTGTTCGAACGTAGCATGTTTGATAGACAGATACAAAGTCTGCTGGAGACGTTTTGTATTGAGTCCCGAGGGTAACTAACGAAATCTTTCAACTAACACAACGGAGATCCAGACATCGTATTGGAGACTGATCAAGACTGCTTCAACAATAACTTCAGACTGTCTTCTTTTATTCGGATTGTTCCGGCTTTCATACTGAATTTTGGCAATGAATTTTGGGAGATAATAGGGTAATAATTGAATATAAGACAATAAAGGTTCCATGTTGTGTTTATATTCGGCAAGATTTTTCATAGATTTTTAAGCGAAAAATTACGGATGTTAGAATTAATTTGCGAAACAAAAAAGATTTTGTTGTAGTTCTGAATCATTATGATGATGAATAATTTGGAGCTATAATTATTCATACTCTAAATGTTGACAGAATTGTCACTTACTGTAGTTTTCCATTATCCCTTGGCCAAGCAATAATTCATGATTCTTATTAATTTTTCTTGACTTATAGTTTACTTTTTGAATATTAACAAAATTGACAATGACATGCTCTTTCCATTACTCTTTTTCGGGCTAAATAATAATTTATTGATCTTTCGAGCCAATAAGATCGAAGTCATCCTCTCTTTGCTGAATTATAAATTCTCTGCAAATTCTTATCAACGTCATTTTTGTGTCTCAATTCGGTCCTGTGATATCAACCTGCTCCCTTCTGAAGTGACCAGTGAATTCATTTTACAAAGGTACAAACTTACCTACTCATTCAATACATTTGTTTATGCTAATAATGCTGCACTCAATTTGAAATAAACATTTGTTCGTTCACGTAATAATATTGCCTTGTTATTGTCACAAACTGTAGGCGGGGGTTGCCTAAGTTGTGTTCTAGATCCATTAGAAAATGAACTTCAAAAGTGATAATAATAAATAAACTCAAAAGGGTTTTCAAACAACACATATACACACATTTATTCTGGGCAATAAATAACAATTAATAAAAACTTAACTTACCCTATATTTACAAATTAACTGATATTTCTTGGGGCCTGAGGAAGGGCATCTTGTGTTCTGCCCGAACTCCGAAGGTTCGGGCACAGTGGCAACTTTACAAACTTACAATTATTGATAGAACTCAAACTTTTCGGACTTGTACTCAAAAACAGGACTAGAACTCGAACTGGCAGTTGAACTAGCAGTCGAACCGGTAGTCGAACTGTCGAACCCGCTTCCTTACGTCTTTTAAATAGTTGTCTTTATTTTCGGAAACGTGACAGTAAGGAAATCAGGTCGATAGTCCAGGTTCGTTGAAGTCAATGTCACGCCTGTGTTTATGTTCAACTATGGAAAAAAGAGTTCGTTCACGATTCGAAAATTTTGGAATTTATAAACAAAGACGCGACCGTTCAATGACTTCGAACCTTGTATGAATTTGAATGTATGAATGAAAAATAACCCTATTTGTGACATGCCCCTCCTCTGAAAACGACGGCCTCCGTCGTTAAAAAATGGTCAGATGGGTACTCCTAGCACTACGTACTAACCTATCATCATACAAATCTAATAATAAAAAAACTCCTATCCTTAACATAAATCATTCTTCAAAAAAATTTCTGGGAATCACTGAAAATTTCTGAGAATTCCTATAAAAAAAACCTATCTGAAAACTGTCCATATAGTACAACTTAAAGTTGTGAGTTCATCCACACACTTCACTGTCTTTAGGCACTCCAAACTGTAGTCTCTGGGTTTCATCTCGGCTCTTCTGGCATCTGGCTTCATTACTGTCGATTAACTGACACGACTAGTCAGCTATTGTTAATCAGCCTGGCTTGGCTAACTAACCTAGGAAGGACTTCCTGGCATGGCGTCGACGGCCCGGAGGTATGCTGAACATCTGGGTTGGCTAAATACCATAGTCCGGTAACGTCTTCCCTGATTTCCTCTAATGACCGAGTTTGGTTAGCCCTGAGGATGCTATCCAGCGGCTGTAGAGATGCCATCTCTCCATCAATCGTTGCATGGCTCTCTGTATTCATCACTGCCGTTCGTTGCTGTTAAAACAACGGTCCATTATTGCTGGCAAGGTATGGTTACGATAGCCCTTCTTGTTGGTTGCAGTGGTTGCACGGTTGCCCTTCGGGATGTCGTCAGCCTATTCATGCCTCCTGCTGTTGTTGATGCCAGAACTGTGCGTCCACTTCTTGTACGATGAAACCCATCAGTGCCTTTGTGTGTGCGATCACATGAAAACAAACAGAAAATATATGGCAGTTAAAAATCTTATATTAAAATATATATAAATAAACTCTATATTGTGATACCCATCTGACTCATTATACTAAATAAAATTAAACCGATTAACGTACCGCGCGACTATTTCTATTATTATTTTGAAACTACCTTATTGGATTTATTATGCCGGTATCGAGGTGACCGCTTTTATTTTACTCGAATATTGACATTGACCGTTACATGTCATTGTCACTGACCCCAGTATGCATCACTCGGTTAAACTGTTAACCTCTTTCATTAACCCATCGATAATCCTAATACTCATTTTTTTTTTCTCATTATATTTTTTTTCCCTTTAATTTTTCCATAATAAAATCTTCCAGATAACGTATTGAAATTTGTCTTACTTAAAAAATGCCGCTTTCACCTATCATTATTTTTTCCTATCGTTGAACTTGAACCTCATGTATGTGTTATGATATCTGATATCATAACAATCGTGAACTCGAAACTCGGATATTAAAAAACTGTTTCGGATGGTGATTCAAACTAGATAAACATATGACAAACCATTTCTTATTTCTTGTTTCCCTACTAATTATTATTATTATTAATTTTTTTGTTTTTTTCCACGAACTGAATTTTGGTTTTTCAAATATGGAAAACATTCACCATTTAATTTTTTCCCAATTTGGATTCGCTGAAATACTTCTGTTTCATAAGCGAATGTCATTAAATCGGAATGATTGCCTTCCAAGAAATACCTTGATTTGTATTCCTAGATTTTGACTTCCCAATATGTTAGCTATTCTGCATATTTTGGTATATCAAATACCTACACTTATAGTGTGAGTAAAATTGAATAATAACAAAGTGTGTATTAATTGGTGGCCTCATTTCGATTTTGTTAACAATAACAAATTCGTTCGAATGCAAATATCTATTAGAAATATCAACTAACCCAAGACTGTACATTTATAATATATGAATCGCGAGTTTCTGCCATTAGCTTGATGAAACAGTGAAGTAGGCATTTTATTTTTCCCGGAGGGGAAATAATACTTGCCTAGAATTTCTTATCTCTCGTTCCATGGTATTGTCAAATTGTCATCTCGTCATCTCGGTCGTCTTGTTGTTAGCACCAGTAAGCTTCCTGGTTTTGCTTATCGTTCTTCATAACAATAGGTTCTGCTCAGTTTCGGTTCATGATGGCTTCTTTTTAGAACTTCTTCTTTCTTCATGCATTTCTTGTCCTTAAACATACTCAACAAAAAAACGATCAATACATGTTCGATTACTAAATGGACAACGATTTCCTCTGGAAATAAGACAATTACTTTTGGAAACATGCTCATCTTGCGTTAACTACTATCGATATCGGCTCCCTATTTTCTACCAATGTGATTCTGATTCTCTAATACCCATTTTCTTCACAATTTGTACTTCCTTTGGTGCCAAAATAATATTCACTTTGCGTGCTATCTTCATATGTGCATCTGTGTCAGATCTGCTTCAGAGTCCATCCTCCCTGCTCTAATTATTGAAACGTTTGTCTAATATCCTAATTTTTCGATATAGCTCAAATATCCCTACAATGTAGAGTATTTTCCGGGAGTTCGCGCTCGAGTTCGCGTGATGAAACCCTTGAGCTCACTTGACGTTTGGTTGGCCAACCTTTGCACATCATAGCACACCTAATAATGTACAAATTTCTCAACATTTCACGAATTCGATAATCTCAAAATCTTTAGGTACGCTCAATAATTCTCATAAGCTTAATAATTCTTATATTTTCAATACTGTATCAATAACATCAATTAATTGTATCTTCTTATCGCTTTACTTTCGACTAATTCGGACCATTTCCTGAAACAACTACTCCCCTGGCTACTTACCTCGACGGGTATTGAATGATACAGGGTGATGATCCGATATCCACAGTGACTACTGCACTGATCAAGTCGACAGCGATAGTTACCTTGACTCCTTGGTCAAAAACAAAAATCTTTACTTTAGCTATACTCTACCCCGTTTGGGTTTTCTGATAGCCCGTATACAGTGCTCTCCACTGCATATCAATAGTTTCCTCACATTGAAAGCTTTTCAAATCTATACATTTGCCGATATCTTGAAATCCTTCAATATATCATCAGAGCATGTTTCCTAATGAAAAAAAATACTAAAATCACTCAAGTTATCTAAACAATACGAAAGTACGATAAAAATTAAATTTCTTCGTTATCTGATTG